CACTCAATTTTAAAGGCTGTTGATAGTAATTTGAAAATGTAGAGTCTTAATAGAAGTATTATTAGTCAAGACATTTAAAATTAGATATAATTAAATAAAATTTGTTCTTGCTAAGAAATCTAGGCTGGCATTTCTTTATTGACAAAGGATCCTAAGTTAAGCTAACAATTAACCTGTTTTAGATGATTAATTCAATACATAATAAAGACATCCAACCATCATATAAATAAGTATTGATCAAGCCCATCTACTGTGCATGGCATGCACTAAACCTCAGGCTGCTTGAAGATGAAACTGTCCCAGCTCAAACTTAAAGTCATGGGCCAAAAGCAGACATGTGAGGAAGTCAGTTAGGAATTGCAAAGACATGATTTAGAAGAAGAGACAAGTTTTGTACTCAAGTAATGTTATAAAATAGAATATTAGATATATGTCTATGAGGGCCAACCAATGCCATCAGAATTTAAGAGGTAAAATAAGGTAAGTGCCCAATGACAGACGAGGAGGTAGAGAAGATGTGGCGTATATACAGAATGGAATACTACTCAGCTATAATAAAGGTGAGACCGCCATTTTGTGACAACATAGATGGGCCTGGGGGGGGGGAGGTTAGGCTAAGCAAAATAAATCAGGAGAAAGACAAAAACTAATGATTTCACTTAGATGTGGAATGTAAAGAAACAAAGGAACAGATAAAACAAACCTTTGAAATCCAACTGCAGAACTATGGCTACTGGAGGCTGAAAGTGGCGAGGTGGGGAGCAGAGCATGGAGGGGGTTCAGTGGGTAGTGGCAGAGGGTTATTGGTGCTTTGGTGGTGGATCTGGTGTGGTAACTAACATACATTTGAAATAGTATGAACCGAAAACATATAAAGACTTGTAACCCAATGTCACCTCAATAAAAAATAAATAAATTAAAAAAGAATTATACTTACATTGCATAAAACTGAAATCCGTCATCCAATCCCCCACATGTTGTGTCTTCAATATACTTCATTATACCTGTGTCTTCAATATATCAACATCATTTTCTAGAATCTAGAAAAGTAGAAATTCAGACTTGTACACTTAGCTATAAGGTGAGCGTTGTCCTTTTCCTTGTTCCTGGCATCTGGCAATGCTGCTGGAAAACACTCATCAGTGGCAGGCACAGATGAGCATCGACCGGAGGCGATATTTCAAACTGGAATAAATATACCCCAGCTCACCTCTCAAGTGATACCGCTAGGATAGTCATGCCATCTTGCCAGAGAGGGAGCAGAGACCCTAATTCCTGAATAGAAAGATATTCAGCCCATGTAATAATAGAGTGTGTGATCACAACCCTCTTTAAATCATCGGTGGTTTCAATCAGACACGTGAGCTGGGTTTAGAGCTGTGGAATGTTAGAACTGGAAGGGACCTTCATCTGACCCTCTTTATCATAGTGGAACAAAAAGAAATCCAGGAAGGTGAAGTGTTTGCTTTAGGTGACACACAGAGAACTTTTTCTGCAGTCAGGATGAGTAGTCACATATCCTAGATTCCAATGTTCTTCTCACATCAAAAGTTACCTTGTACCAAATGTCATTTCCTTTAAATTAAAAGATTAGAGCGTCATGGTAGGACTATGCAGCAGGGGTTTGCAAACTCAGCTGACATTTGGAACAGGTAACTCCTTGCTGTGGAGGGCTTCCTGTGCATTCCTGATCTCTATCCATCAGATACTGGGAAATCACTACCTTCACCCCCTGGTTATGACAACAAAGATGTCTTTAGACATTGCCAAGTACTTCCAGAGGGTCAAAACCACTTTCTCTATCTTGCATATAATTCTAAATTATTCCTCAGAGCAAGTGTCACCCAGACTAAGGGCCTCCTTCCAAGAATCTCACACCTCTAACCTGACAGTTTAGGGCTTTCCCTGGGTGTTTGAAATTCCCCCGCTGATGTCAACTCCATAGTTGGAATTAGTTGTTCCAGGCTAGCCAAGGCCACGGTTCTTTTCCCATCTACTCCAGTCATTATTTCAGCATGCCTTTGAGTGCCTCTTAGATGGGCACTGGAAATGCAAAGAAAGTCTCTGATCTCCAGTAGTTTAGACTCCTGGAGGGGAGACAAATACACAAATGAGCAATTGCAGGTGCTATGATGAATGTTAGGAGAGAGGTGTATGCAGGGAGCTACAGAATTATGGTAAATACCGAATTCTTCTTGAAGGTGGTCATGGATAACCTGACACTGACAGTGGTTGAAAGGAAGTGCCAGTGAAGCCAAATCTTCAAGGACAAAGGAGATGAGCAGGGAATGGAAAAGGTTCATCAGGGAGAGGGAACAGTGTATTGAAAAGCAAGGAGAGAAACCCCCAACATGGTGAGAAATGAAGCACCTAGCAGGTCTTGCTGAGGAGGAATGTGGAAATGATCCTGAAGGTACTGGGATGGGGGCAGAGCACGCATCAAACTTGCTACAAGACTGGAAGTACAGAAAATTACAAACATGGGGGACGCTTCAGAGGAACAGGAGGCTAACCTTAAGAAAAACACCTTGATTTGTTGTCTAATGAAAGCACAGCCGTGCCAAATTTCAGTCTGACTTTCTTACACCACCGTGGGAGGAATTCTCCATGTAGAGCATTGCCACACACAGGCAAGAAAAGGGAAGACCCACAACTGCACAGACCTAGCAGTGTGGCCACAGGAAACCTTTACCACTGACTGAAGGAGAACATTTTCTTCTGGAATCTCAGTCTGCACAGAAAAGTTGGGTTCCCTGCGGAAATTCAAGATTATTTCTTCCAGAAAGAAAAATGATAAAATTTGCCATTTAAAAAATAGACCATTTAGCCAGTTTAGAGAACATAGGAGTTTTGCATATAAGTGTGTGAGTGTGTATATGGCTTGACTTTGGAACTTATCATAGTTCCTTTGGGAATATGAAGTGCAGATAGACTTTCAGGGCACTGGCCGGCTGTGAACTGTGTGTGCCTACACAGAGAAGGTACAGCTGCCGAAGACAGCAGCAAAAGGCACCAGACACACTGTGATCAGAACTCTTCCCCATAGAAGAGAGTCTGAGGTGACTTTGAAGACATACTGCTCATTATATAAAATGCAAACAGAAATAAGCTCTGGCCAGCTGGTCCAGCCCTGCCTGGGCTGAGCGGGTTTCCATGCAGCTCCAGAAGTTATCCCAAGGCCTGGCACCTAGCAGGTGCTCTACCGATGCTCAGAAGCGTGAACTGGACCCCTTGAAGTGCATCTTCATGCCCATATGCCTCTTGTTTAAATGAGGCTTAGAACTGAGTGCTGGTTCAATGAGGTAGTGAGACTGTGTGTGCAAGAAAAGGAGCAAGAGATGACAAGAATTCAACAACCCAGACAGGTAGTGAAAGAGTAAGTAAATCCCTGCATCTGTGCTCAAGGAATAGACACCCCTTCCTCTTAGATGCAGAAGCTAATATGAGCAGGATGTGATCTTGATTAATTTTCAATAATGGCAGTAGAGCTGATCAACTTAAGTAAACGAGTGGTAGTCTCCTGACCACATATCGAAGAGTTGATTTGATAATCTACAACAAAACCTGGTGACCTTCTTCCTTCTGATTCATCCATTACTCAGAAGGCCGTGGCTTCCTAGAATTCTTAAGAAAATCCTAGTTGCGTTCATTAGAGGTCATCCAATCTAGGCAGTTATTTCAAAATGCCTCTTTTTGCTTTTTCAGTATTAACTTATCTCTAGCCTCTCCCAATTTCAACCCACCTGAATCACTCAGGGCAACTTTACTTTCTTAAAACAATGCTTTGATTAAGTTAGGCCTTCCCCCTCACTCCCCAACAACCCCCCCCAGTTTCACCACTTCTTAAGTACCTGCAGGATAAAGTCCAAACCTCCAGCCCACCTGTAAAGATCTGAGAGTCCTCCCCTGCAAATTCACTCCCACTTTTGCATACAAGGCGACAGGACATTGGTCCTCAGTGTTCCCTGAAGAGACAGTCCCCTCTCCCACTGCACAGCAGCCTGAAACCCTCAAGTCTTTCTCCTCCTAGCTTAAAAGCACATTTCTGAGTCTGGTCTACTTAGTGAAGTACAAGTCTGAGCTTAAAATGTGCTGAAAAGCACATTTCTGAGTCTTCCTTGAGAAGGGGTGGTGCTGCCCGCCACCAGGATGCTGCCTGGTCCCTAACCATCAGCACACAGGACCCGAGGCTCTAGAAAAGTGCCTGCTACCTCCTGGGATCTTAATAAATGTCTGTTACTTTTGTTCAATATCTGCAAGATATTTGACTTTGTTAATTTATGGTTCTCACCCACTTTTTCTCCCAGGCCAGGGACTTTCCTGCCCCCCAGGTGAGAAAGGCGTCTGTCTACTGTAGCTTTGATAAAGCTAGCTCTGACATCCAAAAAACAGAACTTCCTCTTTAATCCTCCCAGAAATGAGAACTCCCCAATTCCCTCCTTCCCTTCAGTATTAAATGTCAGGTTTCTTGAAAATAATTGACCTGGATCATTTCTTACTAAATAAAACTCTGCATTTTCTTTGCATTGCAATGCAAAGGTAACCTTACCTCTGGCCAGTCAAATCACCAACAAATGCTCCAAGCGAGGAAAAAGTTTTTTTTTTTTTTTTTTGTAAAATGGAGGTGTGAGGATAAAGCGTCTACAGGCAGAACAGGGCAACAGGTGCTGTCCTGCAAACACTAACAGCTCAACAGACCTAAGGCAGCCAAAGGCTTTTCAGCTAACCAAACGCAACTCAGCGCTGATTCAGGGGCTTTTCGAGAACAAAAAAGTCCCTTCAGCTTGGCCTTGCCGTATTTCACGCAGCACTTGCTACCGAGTGCCTGCCTAACTTGTTTATCTGGGCTCAATCTTTGTCGCACCCAGCCTTCCAGCTCAGTGACCCGGGAGACCACGTTTCCTTAAATCAGATCCCCGCGGACTCCGGGCTGGGACTACATTACCCAGAGGCCCCCGCGCGCCTCGCAGGAAGGACGTCTGCGCACTAAGATACTCAGTTCCAAGTTTGGAGCTTTTAGCTGCCAGCCCTGGCCCATCATGTAGCTGCAGCACAGCCTTCCCTAACGTTGCAACTGGGGGAAAAATCACTTTCCAGTCTGTTTTGCAAGGTGTGCATTTCCATCTTGATTCCCTGAAAGTCCATCTGCTGCATCGGTCAAGAGAACTCCACTTGCATGAAGATTGCACGCCTGCAGCTTGCATCTTTGTTGCAAAACTAGCTACAGAAGAGAAGCAAGGCAAAGTCTTTTGTGCTCCCCTCCCCCATCAAAGGAAAGGGGAAAATGTCTCAGTCGAAAGGTAAGAGTCTGTTTGCATTACTTGCAAAAATGCAAAGGGTTGTGCATGCATTTACGAATGCATGGATGCAATTTTCGTCTGACGATTGCATTTTTAAGTTTGAGGTTTTCCACAGCTCACTTGCATTTCCTGTTTAGTATGTGTCTTTTTTTGCAGACACAGAGAGTTCCTGTAAGGCAGGGCTTGCAGTTCAGCTGTGCATTGACGTTATTTGCATTCTTCTGCTAGGATTACTGAGCTCTTTTTGCCTTTTGCACAGTCAGGAGAGATTGAGCAGGTTGGTAGCCTCGAAATGTGCAGTGCTTTATATAATTGTACAATTCTTTAGTATGCACACATATTATAACTAATTTTATGTGCAACAGGAATACAAACTTTTTAAAAGTCTGTAGGTGAAGATGAAAGGTAAAACTTGAGCTAAACTATTAGGAAATTAATGTAATTTTATATTTCTTTGGTATTGAACCGTTTCCGTGTCAGTATTTAGCTAAATTTCCATTGATAATGCCTGGAACATTAGACAACTTTTGATTTCTAAAGGAAGTAAAGGTGAAGTGTGAATAATAGCATATTACAAAAATGCAGACAAAAAGTCTTTCTCTTCCGAGATTTTGCACTTTGCACTAATTGCTTATTGGTTCACAGTATTTAGAACAGTAACGAGGACATAAATGTTTAATGTCTTCCTTTTGAAGAGATGCTTTGCGGGGGGAATATTGGGGGAAAAAACTGTACTTTTAAATATTGTACCAACTCGGGCAGGGGGGTTGCACTATTTCAATGACAATCATCGTAAAATCTTTTAAGTGTGCAATTGCATATATTTAGTTAGCTCTAATAGGTCAGAAGTTCAGGGTTATGGCTTTTTTTTTCTTTTTCTTAAAAACTTTTTTTTTTTTTTTTCCACATTTGTATTTGCAGACTTCACGTCCTGCTGGGGAGAGGATTAAAAATAATAAAATTCCTGACATGGTATCAGAGTTGAGGGGGTGGTGTGAGTTGCCTCTAGGACCCTAAGTGGCATGTTTCAGAACAAGCTCTTTACCATAGAGAAAGCATTGGCTGTCTGAGAATGTATGGGAGAATTAGAGGCACTAGGTGTTAGACTGCTTGGGTCACTCCGTGAGTAGATCGGGTGAAATGAAAATGTCTAGTGAGTGTTCTGTCACTTTTTTTTTTCCTTCTGGAATTGTTACACTACTTTTTAATTCTACCTGATGGAACTCATATATGTCAGCCCAAGAAGTCAGTGCTACGTATTGAAAGTAGGACTTTGCTTTACTGTTTGGAGAGAATGGAAAACTGAGAGGACTGAAGAACCTAGTAATTGGCATTATGGGTACAGATGTGTTCCTTTAATCCAGGGGGACCCTACAATCTCCTGATGGAGTAGAGAAATAACAATTTAGAAGGAACATTCCATGCTTTGATGTGTTGAAGAGACGTCTACTTACTTAGTGTTTGGTGTATGTTTCCTCATTCAAGTCAATATATATATATATATATCTATCTCAATATTATGATTTATATATGTATATGTGATCACGTATGCATACATCTAATAAAGATATATGCACACACATATGTAGAATATATCTGTGGGAATAAGATTTGGGGCCATATGAATAAATATTTAATATTGCCCTCTTCGTGGAACTTACCATGTGGTTGGTAAAAGCAACATGTGTGTGAATCACAATAACACAAATAAATGTATAGATAGTGAATTTAGAAATGGAATTGATCCCTTTGGGGGGAAGTGAGGTTGTTTGCATGAAGAAGGTAATGTTACAGTGATCTTATCTTTGGGCCTTAGGATCCAAACTAAATCACCTTCTTCTTCTTCTTTTTTTGGCTTCCTCCTAAAATAGCTCTTTTCCTAGGTTAGCAAGGTTTTGAGTTGGGAAGCTAAAGACATGTTAGCATGGCACTTATCCATTATGGATGTGCCCTTAACAGACCAGGCAATGGTGATTCTTCCAATCAATTTCGATTTAACCAAACAGTTTTCTTAATTGGTTCCCCTTTGGGAGGTGAGTGTGGTGTGAACACAGATTTCCTGTCCAAAAGGGAAATTATTGGTAGGAAGAAGTGGAGGATCATTTCAGAAATGGGCCAGGAACCCAAGCCTGGCCTTGAAATGTGGAATTGGATTAATTCAGTTTGTCTTCTCAAGTGGCCAAGACATTTTTTGCAGCACCAAGCTTCTTTGGAAAACTCTAACCAAATAAAATGGGAGGAAAAGTGAAAGGTGGATACAACCTCATAGTATTGAAGAATTTAACCACATGTTCAATTCAGGGACCTTTACGAACTTTCTAGATCACTATAATTCGGTTTTACAGACCTCTAATTTAAGGCACAGCCGAGGCAAAAGAATTACAGACTCCTCGGAGCTGGAAGGACTGGGTTACTCCTTTCCAGCCTCACCAGCAGTGAGATTCTGAGAAAGATTTCTTAAAAAGAAATTTTGTTTTGCACAGTTGTAACTTTAGGTGGTATACTTTTCAGCTTGTTTATATTAGCTGCCTGGGGTTGAGCTGACATTTTTCAAATATTAAAGTGGTAGAATGCCTTTTGAGGAAATCTGAAATGTAAGTTAACAGGAAGGGCACCCAGAAAGTGCAGGAATTCCTGCACTTTACAGGAAGACAGGCTACAGGAAAAATGTGTCATCTACATTACCCTGGAGAGAAAAACTATTGTTATCAGACATAATGATCTGAGGGAGGGAGGGAAAAAAAGGGAGGGAGGCAGGGAAGGAGTGCAGTCTGGCATCTCCCAGTTTACCTGAAAATATGCAGAAAGTTTGACTGTTCAGAAGCACTCTTTCTCACGTCCCTCCATTCATGATCTAAAAATATTCATTTATCTTAGTTTAATATAATGGCAGGTAAATGTGCATGAGAAATGTGCATAAGGCATAATTCAGAAACATGCAGACCACTGGGGAAAGAACTTGACCTCACTGTGGGTTCTTTGCTTCTGTAAACCTTTCCACCCTGGGAAATGAAATGTGTAAATTTCTCATTCTGTGTAAATTCCTTTGTTAGGTTGTACCAGACGGACTTGTCATGCTTAGCCTGTAATCTGAGCCAGTATGTTTTATAACCCCGTGCATCTCAGGACACAATCAGAATAAGTACCTGGATTCCTGAGCTGGTTTCCTATCAGTGGCATTCAGTGCCTGACCACCTGGTGCCTGTCAGCTGCAGGGGCTACCAGGGGTCTCTTGCTGGTGAATTTCTTGTTAGAGAAAATAGTGAGGCACATCCCTTGATTTTTCACAGGTTAGCACTATTGTTACCTACATTCCAGTATTTTAACATCTACAAGGTCAATAAGGAATATTTTTAAAACTTAAAAAAATGCCTCAATAATATTTGTTTCTTCTAGAATTATTTGAAAGTAAAGAGAAGGGAAATAGACAATAACAATCACAAGTTATAGCAGTATATTCTTTGACATATATTCATTGGGACTTTTTTCTGTTCTACTTAAATGTGCATGAATAGATCCAGTATGTATATAAAAACCAGCATCTATTTAGTTACCATTTGTTTTACTTATTACTCTGCTGTGAAATGTTTCCAAGTTAATACACTGTGTTCAAAATATCCAATTCTATTGTGTTTGTTGAAGTAGAATCTTAATGTTTATTAACTTTCAATATTATGACTATTATCAGGTTACCCTGACTCAAACATTTGTTGACTGTACTATGGCCTTCGACTAAATTCTAGGATGTAAAACTACAGGTCATGGTTACCCAGTTCGCCCACCTCCATTCTCTTCTCCACCTTTAAGAAATACCTTTATTATTATTATTATTATTGTAAAAATGATATATACTAAGTGAAAAAAAAATCAAACCAATGAGAAATCCACAATAAGAAAAGAAAAATCACACAAAGTCACACTACCCAGAGCTAATTACCATTAACTTTTTGGTAATTCTATGCATTTGTGAATATATACCTGGTCAGTATACCTGCTATTTTGCATTCTGTGCTGTTTTGCAACATGCTTTGTACTCCATCATATAGTCTGGACATGTTTCTGTATCAATATAGTTACCTTGTTATTTGAGACAGTTGCTAATTTTAATTTATAAGCATGTAGCCATTTGATCAATTTTATATTGGATTATCACAGTTTCTATTTTCTTTTACAGCTATAAATAATACAGCAAGGAATGCCTTGAACATATATCTTTGTACATTTGTCCAATTATCTCTTTAGGAAGAATTGCTAGAAGTGGAAGTCTTGGTCACAGGGCATACATGGATATATGGCCAAATTGCCCTCCTGAGAGCTGACACTAATTTTATTCCCATCAATAATGTCTGCAAATGCCCATTCTCTCCTTTTAAGCATCATGACAAATATTGCCAAATAAATTGCTTTCCCGAAAGGCATTGCCTACTTCCCTTCATCCCTGGGCATAAGAATTTAAAAAACCTTTGGCAGTTCGATAAAAGGTATTATACTATTTTACTCTCATTTGTATTTTTCAGTAACAAAGAAGTTTAATTTTCCACTTCTTCTGACATTTGTGTTTGATGTGTTTTAATTTCTTTTTTCCTCATAAACTGTACCTTTGAAATTTTAATTTGGGCATCAATTTATTTTCAAAGTTAGGCCAGAAAATTCCCAGACTGCAGAGCTTAGGTAATTGTGGCTTGAAAATTGGGTTGCAGGCATTTAAACAATCTAATTCCCTGGTGAGTTCTAGTTTTAATTTAACCAAAATGCCTTTTATAAACCTCACATATTTTATAAACTCATTTTTTATACAGTCTATAGCTACCTAGACTGGCATGAAAATAATAAGAAAAATGTAATGATCTGATTAAAATTCCATCCTGGGAGGTTACTCATTTCTGGACATTTCTTCATTTTCAGTTATCTTTGCGGGCATAAGTAGTTTTTCTTTAGTTTCATAAATAATACGTAGTATTATTACTGCAGGATAGTTTTGGGTTTGGTTTTGTTTAGTG